CAGCTCCTACCATCAGACCCAAAGGCAGAGTGTCGCCTCTCGTGCTCCCACTCAGCATACTCGGGTTTCGAGGCGGCGCTCTCACCCACAATCCCCTGACACGAGGGATCTGAGGACCATTCTTCAGTCTCGCCGGGGCGGGGGAAGAGGTCCTGAGGGTTCTACCGGGGGTAGAACAGGAGTAGAACAGGAGTTTTCGCTCACATACGTGGGTTGTCGGCTGAGTTTCTCTCGCTGCTGACACCCGCCCAACAGACTACGTTCCTAGGGGTGGTGTGGAACTCGATGACGATGCGGGCCCATCTGTCGCCTGCACGCGTCGGGTCCATTGTGTCCTCAGTAACCAGGATAAAGCTAGGCCGCTCCATCACTGTGAAAAACTTTCAGAGAGTGTTGGGTCTCATGGCAGCAGCGTCTAACATAATCCCGTCTGGCCTGCAGCACATGAGAGCCTGTAGTGCCTTGCTTCACAGAAAAGGGCTAATGTCTCCTGTGTGCCGGCGTGCTTATATACGCCTCCAGTTACGCCGTCACACGCTACCGTTCTAGCAACACCAATAGGATTGGAGTAGTTTCATTCATGTTTCAGCCCGGTTCACGCCCAGAAGCATTCTCATAGTGTCGTCACCGACGCAGTGTCTCGTTCCCCTTCTCGGGGAACAAGGGTTACATACGTAACCCGAGACGTTTCCTTTTTATGTCAATTTGAATCTTTGCAAATAGCGAAAATATTACACACTTTCAATGGCTGTAATATTAAAACCAAACATCAGATTACTCTGATATTGACAGAGGGTCACCCTGAGGTGGTCTGCTATCCCTGTGAAGTGAAATGAGTCAGTGGAAACAGGACGTTTCCTTTTTACATCAATTTGAATCTTGGCGAATAGTGAAAATATTAGACATTTTCAAGGGCTGGAACTTTAAAATACTACATCAGATTGCTCTGATATTGACAGAGGGTCACCCTGAGGTGGTCTGCTGTCACTGTGAAGTGAAATGAGTCAGTGGAAACAGGACGTTTCCTTTTTATGTCAATTTGAATCTTGCGAATAGCGAAAATTTTAGACATTTTCAAGGGCTGTAATTTCAGAATACTACATCAGATTGCTCTGATATTGACAGAGGGTCACCCTGAGGTGGTCTGCTGTCACTGTGAAGTGACATGAACCAGTGGAAACAGGACGTTTTCTTTTTACGTGAGTTCGAATCTTGGCTGAATGTTTTAAGCTTTCTGTGAGACTAATATTTTCTTTAGATACTTGTGGTGTCTTAAGCATTTATTTATTTATTCAATCGTTTCTGCCACATCAATTGCATTATGTTCAGCAGAAGCTCACTTTTATTTTGAAATGTGCTGCGACACGTAATACCTAGAAAAAACACGCATCACAAAACAGCGCGAGGGCTGGCTTGACTTCAGTCTGTAATGCACCGTTAAACTGGTTTGCCAATCGCCATTAAACCAAGAAGAAGAACGAACTCGGAATTGAGAAACAGCTATACTCACCTATATAGTGAGTAGTGGGTGATTTCGGACACAGCCGCAGTGATTTAGTCGTAAAATATTTGAGGCCTTGACGCGGAGCTAATGAGGCTAAAAGCTGTGAAATCGACGAAAGTTGAATATAAAACCGGGATGATTTGTCTGTTGGTGTTCCTGTTGGCCCGTCTGTCTCCAGCTTCTTCAGGTAAAAACCTTTTTATATACAGTCCATGATAAAGACACGTTTTTAAAGACTTATTAGGATTAAGATTAACTTGTGACACAGCTTCGTACCATCGATCACCTTTATCTTCCGCTATCTTCGCCATCGTTACCAACACCGGCCTGCCAGTCAACATTTGTATCACATATCGTTATTTATCTGACGTCGAGTTTCTGTGAGATGAACAGTTTGTCAGACAGTCTGTAAGTGAAACAGTCTGGATGTTTAGACTCAGCCCGAACAAAGCGTGCAGTCAGCTGTGGCCACGGTAAATGCTCAAGTTAACTTGTGATGCAACAGCTGGATCTACCGTCGCTCATTTAGCGCGCGCACACACACACACGCGCACACACACACACACAGAAGTTGGAAGCAGGGGTGGTATTTACGATGTAGCATGGTCACTACTGGTGTGTGAGTAGGTCTGCACAACACAAACCCAGAATAATGCACATGCAGGCCTAAATATCTGCAACGTTGTTCTTTCTCTGTATCATCTGTATGTTTGTCCTCTCCGCGACTCCAACAGCTGGAGAAGATGAGCTTCCCCACAGACAAAGCTGTAGTGGCATTAGCGGCCTCAAAACAGCTAGATGGCTGTGGAGGTATCAAAAGGGAAGGGCCCTCCGCCTAGAACCTAGCAAACCTGACACTCCTGTACTGAAACAGAGTTTGCTCTTGTGCAGTAAACTGGACATACGCTTGGGTTTTGCTGAGCTTCAATATTAGATTTCCCCTGAGGGCTACTTGTTGATCAGGATTCCTGTAGAAAAGTGGGAAGAAAGACAGAGTTGTGTGTAGATGCAAACTTGACTTTTCTGGAGACAATATCTGTCATAAAATGTAAATAGGTAACTGGCTTATCCAGGTAAGGAGTAACTTTGTGACGTCAGGTTTAACTTCTCGATTAACCCGTACTACGGAAGGTGGATAGGTGTTAACGAGGTCTGTTGCCAAACTGCACGTGGACTACACACCGCATCTGTACTCCGTGATAATGATGTGAAGTAGGATATTAATACACACCACTTCATAAAACATGTTTAGATTACATCCTGACTTGTTCCACTGTGGTTGCAGCTGAAATTAAGTTAGGAAACGCATCCTTGCGTTCATACAGCGAGGCCTGCAGCCTCTGTGATTTTAGAGAGGACATCCTAATTAATTAATGGGACAGTTTCTTAGATGTAGCCCATCTGTAGGCTGTAATTGAAAGTGTTTTCACATAATTAGATTACCTACTTTAAAGTCACAAAAAATCAAAATCACTTGTGTTTTCTTCTGAAAACGCTTAATTCACAGCAAAGTCTCTAAGATGCAAGATAATATAGTGATTGTGGACTATCTCACCTATTTCCTCATTGTGAAGTCCAATATAATTTCCCAATGCATGCTTACTACACGGCAGACGTGTGTGTGTGTGTGTGTGTGTGTGTGTGTGTGATGTTGCAGCCTTGCAAAGTGAAGTTTCTCTCATAAATGTGTGACTATAATGACATATATAAAATATATTTTTTTACTTTATTATTATTTTAAATTCTGTCTGGATTATTCCCCCTCTCCGCTGGCTCCTTTTTTTCTTATTACAATGGACCTTATGTGCAGCTGTACCTTTACATCATATTATATCACATAAAAGAAGAGTCCAGAAAATACATAATAGAGATTTGAACTACAATAAGAACACTGTGAAGATAATTAGACTACAAATTTACTAAATGCGATGCCAACAAGCCTCCCTGGCTTTGTCGGCCGCCGGTATTAGATTTGGCCGTTAACCATCTTTAATCTCCTCAAATCCAGACACTGTCAGTGTGGATTCCTCTGGAGAAATGTGGACCATGCGCCGTTGTGAAAAACTCTGCCTGCCCAGCTGAACACACCCCTTTTATGCGAATGCGCACCAACTCCAGTTAAGTTAACAAGGGGTTAACTAACAAACATCATATCCAACTTTGTAGTACTGTTTAACTCCAGTGTAGGCAGCCACAGTTTGTCAATCCTGACTTTGCCTGATAACAGTTAACTCTACTCAGAGTTGAAGGTTGAACTCCCTTCGTAGTACAGGCCACTGGTCTTCACCAGTGTCAAACAGCCATGCGTTTGTGTAGTGGTTGTTTAGTCTCCCCAATGAACAGGTCTGTGCATTCCTCACTGCATTGGACCGCATACACTAGATTGCTTTTCTTGTGTTTGGGTGTGCGGTCTTTGGGGTGGACCAGCATCTGTCTTAGTGTGTTCTTGGGTTTAAACTACACAAACGCATGGCTCAACACAGAAGGGCCAACTCCTCAGGTCAAGACTCTGCAGTCTACTTACATCTGAAGGACAGAGGACACTCGTTTGAGGACCACCAGGTGCACATTTTAGACAGAGAAGATGGATGGTTTGAAAGAGGTGTCAAGGAAGCATCTACACCAGGGTCGAGAAGCCGTCATTGAACAGGGGAGGGGGTCTACGCCACCACTTATCCCCCACTTACAATGCTGTCCTTTCATCACTTCCCAGGAAACTCAACAAACGTAACCTATTGGCCTCAGGTGAAGATACTTAACGATGGTCGTTCAGTCTTGGCCACAGGTAGTCTTAACGACTGTAACGACTGTCGTCACAGCAACAAGGAACACTACCGAACCAGCGGTATCGATGACCCGGGATAACGACCCCACTGAGGTTAAATAGCTGAGTTTCCCTGCCAGTCAGTCAGAACTGAAGAAGTCCTTTGGATGAGGGACGAAACGTCTTCCAGTATCTTCAACCAAGTCCAGTTGCCCTTGATTTTCACCTTCGTTGGATAACTCGTTTGAAATTATTACGCCCAGCCCTAGTGGGCATAAAATCCTGTAACATCTCCACAGCTGTGACTAATTATTGAATGTTCCCATGATCTCAGGTGTGAAGAGGCCTTCTGTTTAAACAAAGATGTTCTCACTGTATCGTCCTGTGGAGTCCTTTTGAAATGTAATTACTTTTTCTCTCTGGATGTTTTTATTGTTTTTAGATGTGGTACGAGTGAAACCTGGAGATGATGTCATTCTGCCATGTCAGGCTGGTGAAGCCTCCATCAGAGCTGTAGAGTGGACCAGACCTGACCTGGAGTCAGAGTACGTCCTCCTTTACAGAGATGGACGCTCAGATCCAACCCACCAGCATCCATCCTTTAAGGACCGGGTGCAGCTGGTGGACAGAGAGCTGAAGGACGGAGACGTGTCTTTAATTCTGAAGAACGTGAGCAGCAACGACGCTGGAACATACGAGTGTCGAGTTGCAGCAGGTGATTCAAGACGTAAGAGAGCCAACATTGAGACTGAGCCAATCAGAATCATCCAGCTGGAGGTTTCAGGTGAGTTTGTGGAGGTCAGTGTGTCTGTGTGCCATGTTGTAGCTGCAGTTTATTCCATGTTGATTCTGAGAGTCCAACATGAGGAATATAGAAGATATAGCCCAACCGATATATTGGCAGGCCGACATGAGCAAATTGCAATTAATCGACATCGGCCGTTTATAACCAGGGTTCCCGCAGCTCCTTAAAGATTTAAGACCTTGAAAGGTCTTAAATTGAAATCAGGGAAATTAAGGTCATAAAATTTGCTGTGTTTATTAAATTTGACGATGGTGCATTTAAGCCTATTGGGAAAATTGTCACGCACAGTAGCCTGAAACACCTAATTAGCGTGTATTTGTATGGTTTTCTTTTAGCAATTGACAATGCGAGACCCCGCCATTAATAAAACTCATGTTACGTTTACATTAGCTGCAGACGTTGACGTTTGGCTGCCTGACATATTATCGTCAGTCATGGCTGCAAGATTGGGAGACGCAAGTTAAAGTGGTTGGAGGAAGATCTGATTGTTCTGTCTAGTTCAAACACCTGTAGCCTACTTTCTAAAGTGTGTCTTTCACCGTGATTTGTTTTCCTCCATGGATTATTTACCTCTCTTTAGCAGTGCGCCTGTGTATTAGTTCGGCCAGAAAGTGAAAGTGAAACTTAAATTCGGTCCGACATCGTTTTCTTGTTACCTATCGTCATAATGTGTAAGTTACTCTTTTCTGTTATTTTAGTGGTTTATATTGAGTTTAACACATCAGTTTATGAGTAAGGGATGGGCGACATGAAAAAAATAGTAAAATCATTATTTAATCATTATTTTTATTATTATAAGTTTAAAGGCTGATTTTTGCTCCTGAAGAAACCAGATGGTTAATTGTGCTTTTAATCTTTTCTTTATGGTCAGAACATGACAAACACTTGATGCCAAAAAGCAGCCTGGTATCAAACAGTGGATCACTTCACAGAGCTGAGGCAGAACATCCAAAACAACAAATATGCATGAAAATTTCCTCAATTAAATAAATATCTTAATAGAAAAGTGCTTCAAATAATTTAAATAAATTTTTTACTGAACTTTTGTATACTTTTTTTGAGGAAGATTATATAACTAGAATTAACATTATTGTTTTATTGCCCAGCTCTGGTTCACGTTCATAAACGGACACGATCAGTTCACCAAAAACATGAGCAAGATCAATAATCTACACAATTTGAGCACGTTTATGCACAACACTGAATGTCCAGGCGCATGCTGCACTGTCAGACTTTTGGATTTTATTTGCAGAAGACTGCGACCAGTACATATTTCCACCCAAGTAGTTGTTGTATGTGGATAGACAACACATTTGCATCCATGTGGTCATGTTGTCCCTGACCACCTCCAGAGTTCGTTTTGCTGATCGGATCACAATCTGTCCTCAATGTGTCCTCGGGTGCATTTACTACCCGATCACAATCACCCAAAATACATTTTAATGCCAGGTGTAAACAGCCTCTATGTTCCCCGATTCGGAATATGCAAAGCCATTCACCTGTGGTGAAAATAAAACTGCCAAATATGGCATTGCGTCATTCATTAAGAGAGCAATGGGATAGGGATGGAGGTGTTTATGGGGGGAACTGTGCTAAAATATATACTTCTAATCATTTATCACCACTGATGAACCCCACCAAGAATAATTTATCGCTTTTAAACGGTACTCGGAGGTGCAGACGATGCTCGGCGGACAGGCAGACCTCTGTACAACAGTCCACCGCTGGTGTTGTGCAACTAGTGCACCGAGCACAGCCCCCCATAAACACCTCCATCCCTCAGTCCAGCTGCAGCCTCGTTCTGTGTAATGGTATCGCCATGTCTTTTCTCGCCCTGAACACAGTCACTCATTACAGTAATAAATCTAAGATTATCTAAGATTGTCCATGTGGCAAGTTTAATGTTGACACTGCATAAAGTCAGCTAAACAACAAGGCAGAGCATCACTTTCCAACTTCACACATGTCCTCTTTTGTGCGTTTTGCTCCAAAGTATTGTCACCCCCAAATTAACTTCTCTAACAGGTTTTGACTAATGTGCATGACTCTTTTTAAAAACTGGTCAGCATACCCTCCCGTTCAGTTAACATCATAAGCACAGCTGTGCTAATTAGCTTAACGAGCTAAGCTAACATGCTATTTATGCTGACAACAATACCTGCAAATTATTGCTAACACATAAATGAAATACTACAATTGCACTCACCGAAACACCTGGAATACTGAAATGCCACCTTACCAGCTTCTGTGCGGACACTTGGTACAGACAGTAGCAGTGAGTCTTGCGAGCGTAAAGAATAAAGTCCAGCCGCTTTAGGTTGAATATATTCACACAGATCGTACAAACGCAGAATACCCTTATAAATGAACATATACCAATGAGTGAGTCTACGATTCTTCAGTGCTGGCCAGCCCACACGTGTGTAAAGTTCACAGTGGTGTTTGCAAGGCTTACAGTTTGTGATAAACCTCTATGAGGCATGATAAACAGAGTCCAGTAGTTTCAATACTTGGGTTGGGGCATTCATATAAATGAGGTCACCATAATCCAGAATGGATGTAGATGTTGCAGATACAAGTTTCCCTTTAGCATTAAAAGAAAAACATAGCCTATTTCTAAAGTAAAAGCCAATTTTCAGTCTCAGTTTCCTAACCAAATGTTCAACATGTCCTTTACAACTAAGACTGTCATCAATTAAAATATCTAGATATTTAAAAGATTTAACTCTTTCGATTTCTGCCCCTTGAAGAGGACTTATCTGCAGATTGCTCTTTGTTTTTGAGAATAACATCAACTTGCTCTCATTTACATTTTTAAAAGCGTTTTGTAATGTAGAGACACTGGCACTAAGTTTTTGCAAAGCTGTAGATAACCATATCATCAGCATAAAAATGGTAATTGGTGTCCAAGATCCTGGCCAACATTGTTCACATAGATAGTAAATAAATGTGGCCACAAAACAGAGCCTTGGGGCACTCCTTTAGTTAATGAGAGAATATTAGAACAATTATTATCTGATTTAACACATTGGGACCTGTCAGTGAGATAATTACAGATCCATCCAACTGCCTTTTTAGATAATCCAATGTTGATCAGTCACTCTTTGAGTAAAATGTGGTTTTCAGAGTCAAAGGCTTTTGACAAATCAATGAAAAGCACTGCACAATGTTGCTTATTGTCAAGAGCTGTCGAGATATCGTTGATCACCTTCAGTGTTGCTGTTATGGTACTATGACCTTTCCTAAAGCCTAAAATTTTTGATAAGATGCAAAGTTTTGAAATCGGCCTGTAGTTATTTAAAATTTTTGGGTCACCACCTTTAAATAATGGTGTGACAAAAGCCGATTTCCAGATTTTGGGAATTTGCATAGTGCTCAGACTTAAGTTAAAAATATCAGTCAAAGGTTTTGCTATTAAATCAGCTGCAATTTTTAGAAAGTAGGGATCAATTAAGTCAGGTCCTTGTGGTTTACGTGCATCTAATGATTTTAGTGCTTTGTGGACTTGACACAAAGTAAAAGGCTGGAAACTAAATGTTGATGCATCAGAGGGTTGTTCCGTAGCAGTCCCAGTGTTGCTTGAGTTTGTGGATGGTGTAGATAAATCAATTTAACATTTCAACTTTGTCATAAATATGTAAAGAGTTATGGACAATCTAATTTGGCAAGACTTGTGAGTTATTTTCTGCAAGGAGAGATTTTATAGTTTTCCAAAATCTTTTAGGGTCATTAGACAGTTTTAGTTGACAAGTAGAATTCGGACTTGGCATTTTTAATTTGGGAGGAACTTTTATTTCTTAATTTTCTGAAATTATCCCAATCGCATTTTAAACCAGTTTTTTTGCTTTCGCCCAGGCTAAGTTCCTCTCATGTAAAGCATTTGCCAAATTTGGTGTAAACCAAGGACTATCTCTACCTTTAACTCTAAATTTCTTAAAGGTTCTATGAAACACTCATAGAAAAATTACCAAGCTGTTTCAACATCTGGAATGAGGTCAGTTCTGTTCCATTGGCACTTAGAAAGGTCATGGTAAAATGCCTGTTCATTGTTTTAAATCTCTTTTTATAATGACTCGTGGTTTTCTTTTATCAATTTTGGTATTTCTAACAGTGGCCACGATACAGTGGTCGCTGAGATCATTGCAAAAGACCCCAGTTGAACAGTATTTATGTGGGGCATTTGTTAAGATCAGATCAATCAATGTTGACTTTGAGAGACACTTAATATTTGGATGATTTTGAAATCATCAGAATTTGGGCTAAGCCAGTCCCAGTTTAAATCTCCAATTAGTATAGTTTCATTGGAATGAGCTTAAATAGAAAATCCTTTAGTAATTGGAGTGCGTTTTGAGGTGGCAGAAGGAGGCCTATAACATCCCACAACATTTACATGTAAACCCTTGGCAATTTCAACCTTTAGCATTAAAAGTTCAGATTGTTTACAGAGAGATTCAGCTTGTAACAAATTTACATGGAGGGATGAGTTTATATAAATGGCAATTCCCCCACCTTTAGCTAGTCTTTCAACACGATAGATTTGAAAGCCATTTATGCAAACATCATTGTCAGATATAGATTTGTTTAGCCACGTTTCAGAAATAAAAACTATATCTGCTCCTGTTGACCTTACTCAGATTCGAACTTGGTCAATTTTAGGTAGAAGACTGCGAACATTAAGGTGAATTATTTTAAGGCCAGGTAAGGACTTAAAGTCAGATGGGGTTTGAACCTCTGGGCCAGGGTTTGGTTGTATGTTTCCAGATAGTAAGAGTAACAAAATAATTAGTCGTCTTTGGTTTCCAAAACGGTTGGGTATTGTGTTTTTAGACACAATTTCAATTGAAAGTAACATAATAGAGGTTTCATTAAGTGAAAAATAATCATATAAAATTAGTTGTTTTATGACCCAAGGTAGTAGGACACACAGATTTGTTAGTTTTGATATTGGCATTTTATACGTAGGGGCAGATGATTTGTTATGATCGTAGTTCACATCAACTTGGATATGTTCAAAAGTATGGGCTCCCGGCGTCTGTCCAAAATTAAATGTAGACAATTTATCATGACTGTTGTAAGAATTATAACAAATGAGCAGAAGGCACAACAATACACTTGGAAAATGCATATTTAAATTGAAAGTCACACCAGGTAGGATCAGCAATTTTGGTATTGGAATTGCAGTCCAGAGCTAGCAGCCAGGCGGTGCAGGCCCAAGGTGGAAAAACAGCTAGCAGCCAGGCGGTGCAGGCCCAGGGTGGAGGAGCAGCTAGCAGCCAGGCAGTGCAGGCCGAGGGTGGAGGAGCAGCTAGCAGCCAGGCGGTGCAGGTCCAGTGTAGGGGAACAGCTAGCAGGCTAGTCGCACATGTGCAGAGTCCAATTTAGAGTCGAGAATGTTTTAAACTGTAATATAAAAGGCTCAAGAAGGGATATATTAGCTGATTAAACAATTATGTGACCATAAAAAGATTGTTGAGTATTTGGGACCAGCTCACAGTGACTGACCTGCTGTCATACTGCAGCCACTACCAAGGCTGACTGCTAGAGAGACGCTCACAGAGCTGCATACCAAGAGCTGCAGGTGGAGGAAAAAAGATACCAGATTTAAAAAAGTGTGGGAAATAATCTGAGAAGGAAACATTAATGGGGAAAGGATGAGGGCGGCCATGGCAGAGGTAAGAGTGACAAACAAATCTATAGACAGAGTTGTGTGTCTGTGTTGCTTGCGCGCGTGTGTGTACAGTATGCAATATTGTGATAATGATTTTATATATATTGCATTGTGAATCTGAGATATATTTGGATTTTTATTGACTATATGTCTAATCATATATCTAAATAAATAAACTAGCATTAATATTTTATAATATTCCTGACATCAAAGTAAAGAGTGAAGAAGAAACGGCCCTATTAGATTTCAGAAAAATGTATGAAATGTTTTTGAATCTGGTATCTTTTTTCCTCTTCCTGCAGCTCTTGGTGTGCAGCTCTGTGAGCGTCTCCCAGCAGCTCAGTCACTGTGAGCCAGTCCCAAACACTCAACAATCTTTACATCTTTTCATGGTCACATAATTATTAAATCAGCTAATATATATTGTCTATGTAGAGGTCGACCGATATGGTTTTTTTCACGCAGATGCCGATACCGATCTTTTGAAATCCGGGTCGGACGATATTTGCTTGGTTTTTAACCTCTATTTGCACCGAACTGAAGCACAGAAATCGGTGCGGTAGATAACGGTCGTTAAGGTTCCAGTGCCGTATTAGCACCGGGTCTGTCTGTAGCTACCCGTTAGCAAAGCAAAGCCAATCTGTCACTAGCCTATAGTGCGTTGGTCTCTTTTTTATTACTTATTTCTCTGCATTGAGTGACAACCCTCTCAAATATAAGACACATAAACAGAACAAATAAAAGTCTCAGATTCACTCTGTAATTGCAAAATTATTGCTTACTTATTGTGACATGATAGCAACTCTTCTGTGATAATGCAACTTCAACTACGATCCAAATTAGCCGAATGTCATGTGTCTTATTCAGGTTTTTTCTCGAAGTTGGCAGTAACATATCAAAGGTTTTTAATTAAATATAAAGGAGTAATAAGAATTGAATCCTTACCGTTAGCTCCTTAGGCACTGGATGAGGTCTGCTGCTCACTCGGCTGGAAAAGGACTCTAGCGGCAGCGCGCGTCAAACACGTGTTCCACGACAACACTAGGCTGCCCACAGATGCGCCTG